TTGATTTAAGGAGAAGTAATACATATATTGAAGAGTTATAGTTTTCACCTGAAGAAAAGAAAGATGAAACAGTTTATCAACTAAGAAAGTAGTTGAGGGTATTTAACAGCTCAATGGCTCACAAAATATTCAAGGAAATAGCTGACTTGTAAGAAGTCCACTAGCTGGTTAAGAAACAAAAATACAGCACATGAGTTGAAATGAGCTAGAAAAGGACAATATCACAGAGAGAAAGTTCAATGAAGATATTTAAACGAGGAACAAAGTGATAATTACACTGACCACAGTACTGAAGGCAGTTGTGCGGACAATTGAACCAGAGTTTTCTGAGACTTCAACAGAAGCAGTAGAAGAGGAACCAGCTTCTGAAGTCGTGGATGAGGTAGAGCCTGATCCTGAGCCTGAGCCTGAGCCTGAGCCTGAACCAGTTTCTGAAGTCGTGGATGAGGTAGAGCCTGAACCTGAGCCTGAGCCTGAGCCTGAACCAGTTTCTGAAGTCGTGGATGAGGTAGAGCCTGAACCTGAACCAGCTTCTGAAGTCGTGGATGAGGTAGAGCCTGAACCTGAACCAGCTTCTGAAGTACTGGATGAGCCTGAACCTGAACCTGAACCTGAACCTGAACCTGAACCAGCTTCTGAAGTCCTGGATGAGCCTGAACCTGAACCTGAACCAGAGCCAGTCTCGGATGAAGAACCACCGTCATATGTAGAAGTCAATAAAGTGGTCTGTGTTACCGTGGCTTGCTCACTTGGAGTCACATTCTCACCGGAACCACCTGTAGGAATCTCACTAGTAGCATCACCTACTGGGATGGTCTTTGTGATGATAGCTGTAGATCCCGGGTAGGTGATCGTAATAGTTTCAACTTCATCAGAACCTGAATCTGGAACAGATGTAATGATAGTGACAACTGATTGTGGATAGGTAACAGTAGTCAAAATCTCTGTACCCTCGGCGCTGTTGTCAGTGACTTCAGGAGCAGGAGCAGTTGTTGTTACAACAACAGTGGATTCCAGATAAGTAAGTACAGAGGTCACTGTTTTATCAGCTTCACCATCTGATCCTGTAACAGTGGTTGTGACAGTTCTAATGGATTGAGGATAGGTAATTGTGGCGGTCTGAACATTGCCACCTCTGGTAGTCACATCGGTGGTGGTCTCATCGGTGGTAGTCACATCGGTGGTGGTCTCATCGGTGGTGGTCTCATCGGTGGTAGTCACATCGGTGGTGGTCTCATCGGTGGTGGCCGGACCAAAAGCGGTTGTAGTAACAATGACCGTAGAAACTGGGTAGGTTACTGTAGTAATAACAGTTTCTCCATCATGACCAGGAACAGTAGTAGTGACTTTGACCGCTGACTCAGGATAAGTAACAGTCGTAGTGAAGATACTTGCTGCAGTAGTCGAAGTGGTGGAATCTGGAACCAACGTTGTAGTAGAGACGAATTGTGAAGACTCAGATGGACCTTCAGCAGATGGACCTTCAGCAGATGATGAAACTTCAACAGAGGATGGCACCGATGAAATGGTGGAGGCCGGTGCCAAAGTAGTCGTTGATACAAATTCTGAGGAGGACAC